GGTGGTGGTGGTGATGGGTGTCGGGGTTGGGGTCTGTGTGCTGGTGGGTGTTGGTGTTGGGGTCACCGTGGTAGTGGTGGTGATGGATGTCGGGGTTGGGGTCTGTGTGCCGGTGGATGTTGGGGTTGGTGTCGCTGTCGTGGTGGTGGTGGTGATGGGTGTCGAGGTTGGGGTCTGTGTGCTGGTGGGTGTTGGGGTTGATGTCACTGTCGTGGTGGTGGTGGTGATGGGTGTCGAGGTTGGGGTCTGTGTGCTGGTGGGTGTTGGGGTTGGTGTCGCTGTCGTCGTGGTGGTGGTGATGGGTGTAGGGGTTGGGGTCTGTGTGCTGGTGGGTGTTGTGGTTGGGGTCACCGTGGTGGTGGTGGCAATCGGTGTCGGGGTTGGCATCTCTGTGCTAGTGGGCGTTGGGGTTGATGTCACTGAAGTGGTGGTGGGGATGGTTGTCAGGGTTGGGGTCACTGTAGTGGTGGTGGTGATGGGTGTTGGGGTCAGAGTCTCTGTGGTGGTGGGTGTCAGAGTTGGAGTCTCTGTGGTGGTGATGGTTGTGGTGGGTGTTGAGGTTGGAGTCTCTGTGGTGGTGGTTGTCATGGTCGTGGGTTGGGTGACACACTTACAGCACTGAACGTTGATCTCATAGTTGAGGCAGAAGGCCATAGGAATGACCCCACCTGGCTTTTGGTCTTCATTTTTGCATACTAGCCCCTCATGGACGTCACACACCACTGTTTGTCCAAGCTGTCCAATGGGAACATCAGGATGCATGGTGGCTCTGCAAGAGATGTTAGCTGCCCATCCTGGTTCACAGATGCCTTCAATCGATTCTGTATCTCCACCTGGTTTGTTAAAGTCAGGTTTTCCAGAATCCAGCCAGCCAGTCCAATTGCAGACAGGCACACATGGGGTAGTAGGGGTTGTCGTTGAGAATGGTGAAAATGCAGAAGGAGTTATTGATGGAGAGAGAGGAGTAGTTGTTGGAGGGCTGGGAGTGGTGGTTGTTGGAGGGCTGGGAGTGGTAGTTGGTGAAGAGGTGGTTGTGGTTATTGGAGGGCTGGGAGTGGTGGTTGGTGGAGGGGTGGTTGTGGTGGTTGTTGGAGGGCTGGGAGTGGTTGTTGGAGGGATAGGAGTGGTAGTTGGTGGAGGGGTGGCCGTGGTGGTTGTTGGAGGGCTGGGAGTGGTGGTTGTGGTGGTTGTTGTGGGGCTGGGAGTGGTGGTTGGTGGAGGGGTGGTTGTGGTGTTGTTGTGGGGCTGGGAGTGGTGGTTGGTGGAGGGGTGGTTGTGGTGGTTGTTGAGGGGCTGTGAGTGGTGGTTGGTGGAGCGGTGGTGGTACAAGCCATGGGCAGGCAACAATTGACACGTATCATGTAGTCATAACACAGTCCAAATGGTCCATTTCCAAACTGGTCTTCATTCTTGCAAATGAACCCAACAGAGACATCACACTGCACCTTCTGGCCTAGCTCCTCCAAGCTGAGGTGAGGATCCTTGACCGACCTGCACTCGATGTCCTCAGGGGCCCTGCAGACCCCATCAAACGTCTCTCGGTCGCCGCCGTCGCTGCCACTGCTGGGGTGGTCCTCGTTGATCCAGTCAGACCAGAAGCAGCACACCTCTAGGGAAGCAAAACCCAGCTCTTGTCACTCGCACCTTGGGAGAGGCACCTCCAGGAGGCCACCAGGATTCAGAGAACCCTGGGGCCTCCCTGACCGTGCCCCAGATGCAATCTCTTTTTTCCCCGTCATTGCCAGAAAACCAGAGTGCAGGGTCAGAGAGCTCAGGGCTGGACACCACTTCCATCCTCATTTTGCAAGTGAAAACCTAAGCCCAAAGAGACAGGGCCACCCAGCGTATGAAGGACCCTTTCCTCAGCTATTTTCAATACTTTTTTCAAAGAATCAATAATAAGAGAGCTGCCTATTCCAATAAAGAAGTGTGCCAGAAGGGGCTTTGTCTCCACTCTTAACCAGCAATATTGTCACCGACAGCCAATCAGGTCTCACTTTAGGCCCTGGCCTCAGCAAACCATGAATGAAGTCACCAAAATACACCTATCTTTGGTCCGTAAGCAGAGGAGTCTTGCCCTACCAGCCTCACATCTGGGCCCTGAAGGAAGCATCCTGCAGGTGATGTTATGAGACTTCACTCCTCCCACCCACCTTGTCATCGTGAATATCATCACCGTCACTTACCCGGAGTTGTTGATAAAACTGCAATAAAGCAGGAAGAAAAGAGGATATCATTATATAGTTCAAGATCTTCTAAAATCTTGTCTTATTTTTTTAAAGTTTATTTTTTCTGTGGCTATCATACCCCTGGTGGCTTGTTCGGTGGTAGCTAGGATTTCAACCAGAACAAACGCAGGCGAACGTAAGAAAATTTCTCTAACCCTTAGGGATACTTTCCTGCTGGTTTTCAGAAATCTCCCCAGATGATCCTCCACTCTGGTCTGGGCTTGGGCATGTGGTCAGTATGCTACCATCTGAATGCACCAGGGCAGGGGAGCCAGGCACGCCCCCTCACACCTCAGTGCAGTGGAATGTCACCGTCACCTCACTCTGCAGCTGGTGTGCAGAGGTCAGAGCCTGGCTGCAGCGGGCCAGGGCCTGCCCCTGAAAGAGCCCCGTGTGCTGGATGCTGGATGCAGGGGAAGGTGAGAGCCTGAGGAAGCACGGGGGGAACCGGGGGCCTTACCTGTGCTGGGGGTCGGGGTGGTGGTGGTGGTGGTGGTGGTGGTGGTGGTGGTGAAGGTGGTGGGGCTGGTGGGGAGGGTGACGGTGGTGAAGGTGGTCAGAGTGGACGGGAGTGGTGTAGTGGAACAGATGTTGAAGTACTTTTCCACCGTCCCATTGGGGCCACAGAACTCCCAGTAGCAGAAGACGCCATCCTGGGTCCGGTTGACAATCTCTCCTGGAGGTGAGGGTGAGGCCAAGAATCATCTCATTGGGAGCAAGGTAGGGGGAAGGCCAGGTGTGCCTGAGCCCCCACAAGCAGCCAACAAATGCTCCAGTGAGACTGCACCTGTCCCGGAGCCCCTCTCTTTGAATAAAGGGAATCTCGCCAGAACGCAGAAGCTGGATCGGGGGAGAGGGTGATGGAAATTCCCCACAGGAGACCGGCACCCCAGGAGAAGAAACCAGATGCGTCACGGCAGCCCCCCAGGGCTGATACACATCGGAGGTGGGTCTGAGCTCGGGGGGACCAAAGGGTAGAGCCTAGGAGGGAAGCAGCACCCCCCACCCATCCAAGGCCCCACAGGCTTCCCCAGGATGGGCCCAGCCACCACAGGGCTGGCAGCAGAGGGCAACTCACCTTCCTTTGGCCTGCAGATGACTTGGGAGGAGTTGGTGCACATGCTGCAAAGCAAGCACATGGCTACAAGTCCCACTCCACTGATGCTGCGCTCACCCTGCTCAGACCCCCAGCTTCCCATGTGGCTAGTACCGAGCCCAAAGCCCCCGGGCACTGCCCCAAAGCCAGCTCTGGAAAAGCCCCCCATTAGGTTCTAACTGTAGGAACAGAGCAGGGATGAGGAGAGGAAGGAAAAAGCCAGACCCAGAGGATGGTATGAGAACAGAAGATCCCCCACCCCAGTGAGGGTCTGGTGCCTCTGTGGCCTGGCTCCTGTGTGCATGCATGACTGTGTGCCTGTGTGTGCCTGTGTGTCTGTGTCCATGCATGTGTGCATGTGTGACTGTGTAACTGAGTGTGTGCCTGGGTGTCTGTATCTTTGCATATGTGCATGTGTGACTGTGTGCATGTGGTGCTTTGTATGACCGTGTGACCGTGTGTGCCTGCGTGTCTGCGTCCATGCATGCGTGCATGTGTGACTGTGTAACCGTGAGTGTCTGCCTGGGTATCTGTGCCTAGGCATGTGTGCATGTGTGACTGTGTGTGCCTCTGTGTCACTGTCCATGCATGTGAGCATGTGTGCATGTGTGACTGTGAGTGCATGTGTGCACCGTGTGCAAGTGTGACTGTGTGTGCCTGCGTGTGTCTGTGCATGTGTGCATGTGTGTACATGTGACTGTGTGCCCACAAGTCTGTGTCCATGCATGTGTGCATGTGTGACCGTGTGACTGTGTGCCCACAAGTCTGTGTCCATGCATGTGTGCATGTGTGACCGTGTGACTGTGTGCCTGGGTATCTGTATCTAGACATGTACACATGTGTGCACTGTGTGCATGTGTGACTGTGTGTGCCTGTGTCAGCATCCATTCACGTGTGCATGTGTGCATTGTGTGTGTGACTGTGTGCATGTGGTATGCTATGTGAATTTGTGTGTATGTGCACCCATGTGGAATGGCTGTGTGTCCATGTATTGTGTGCACTGTGTGCTCACACATGTGTGTGTACTCATGTGCCCATACGTGCAGCTCCCCCAGGTCCCCTGCCACGTGGGCTTAGATACCAAGACTTGCAGATCTCCTCGGGGCGAATCGGCGTTCCAGGTGGGTGGTGGGTGTCCTTGATGTAGCAGCCACACTTGTCTGCAGTGACACACTTCTTCCCAAACTCGTCATAGATGGGCCTGTCCTTGGGGCACCGGGGATAGCAGCCTGATGGACACAGGGCATGGGGTTGGGACCACCGCAATCCACCACACCCCACCCACCATCCGTACCCCAGCAGGCCCTTCTCCAGAGGATGCCCCTCTGGGAACGCCAGGGATTGGAAAGGCAGGGCCTGGATCTCCCCACCCCACTGGGCTCTGAACGATGCCCGCTGAGGAGCCCTGCCCGGTCTCATCGGGCCCCTGAGCAGCCCTGAGTCCCAAGACCCATGTTCCTCTCCCATGGCGGGATACTCCCTCCCAAACTTCCTACCAGTCCCTCCTTCACGTCACTGGTTCTCAGCTCAGACGCCAGCACCCAGAGGGGCCTCCCCTGACCTGTGCCTGAAATGCTCCCCAACCCGCCCTGCTCTGTACAAACCTCAGCACCTCCCACCCCTGCCACTCCCAGTTTCCATGCCGGCCTGCTTCCCTCCTGACCCTGCAGCAAGGGGAGCCTGGCCACCCTGGGGTGTGGGTGCCCTGAGGGTCAGGCCTCCCTCCGGGTGTCCCCATGAGTCCCCAGACAACATCAGCCTTCAGCCCCACACAGCCAGGCCCATCGGCCGTCACCTCCCCCGAGGGCCACCTGGCTCACCCTCGAGGCCAGTGGGCTGTTGCCTCTCCTGAGGGCCGCCCAGTTCACCCTCCAGGCCCCTCAGCCGTCACCCCTGCTGAGGCCCGCCCCACCCTGCTCACCCTCCAGGTAGGACACAGAGATGTTGGAGTGGATGCCGTTGATGGTCCTGCAGGTCTCGAAGCTCCGGTTCCCACATGGCTCATAGTGCCACTCACACTCATGTGGAGGGTTGTAGTAGTCGCAGAATACGGCTTGGGGGAGACAGGGCCAGGGTCAGACGCAGGAGGGCTCGCTCAGGCGTGGGCCGGGGTAAGGGTGAATCTGGGGTGGGGGGCTGGGGTGCAGATGTATCAAGCTTGCTCTGCCAACCCAGGTCCCATAGGGCCCCAAAGAAGGACACTGGAGAAGTCGGGGAAAGGGTGGGTGATGCACACCCATCACCTGGATGGGCAAGGAGTGCCGCCCCGGCCCGCAATACAGCACCTCCAATCCCCCTCCTGGCCCTGGGTCCAGTTCGGGCGGGCTCTTACGGCACAGGTCTGGCGTCCTCCAGAACACGCAGGCCCCCTCTTTGGTACACTCCTGGGCATAGGAGGCCACGGCAGAGCAGAAGCACTCGCAGTCCCCACCCGTGTCACAGGAGCACGAGTCGTGCACGCAGGCCTCGTAGAAGGGCGTGGGGTCCACCTGGGGAGAACACCCTGGTCTGTCCTGGGCCCGTGCTGCCTTCATGGGGCCAGGACTTCCCCGGTGCCCTGGAGCTCAGGACCCAGAGGCCAGCCCTGCTCCTGGGATAGGGCACATCACCCAGCACCAGCCAGCCAGGGCCCCAGCAGGGCCAACCTTGGGGAGAGGGTCCAGAGACGCCTGTCCCACCGTGGCTGTGCGGACCCATCACCCAGCCCCTCTGCATCCTCAGCTGTAACATGGCCATCCTAGAACCCGTCCTCCCCAGCTGCCTGTAGCTGGGGATGTGCGGGCATGGGGGGCACATGTCCTTTCTCCCTCCAGGTGAATATCTGAGCCTGGGGAGGCAGAGGGAGGCTGGGGGTCCAGCCCAGGGTCTCAGAGGGGAGGCTGATTATATGGTCACGTGACCAAAGGATGCACCGGCCAGAGCCAAAGTTGGAGGACAAGTGCTGTGTGGTGACGCAGCAGGGCGACTCCTGAAGGTGTGGAGGAGCGTGTGGAGAAGCCCCCAGCCCCAAGAGCACCCAAGACCTCACCCTGCTGTGGCCACGCCCTGATCATTAGCATGCTCTACGGCACCCTAACCACGTCCACAGTCAGCCCATAGCCCTGCAATGCCTAGTCGGCCCCACCCACAGCTGCAACCCACCTACAGCCCTGCTCTGTCTAGTTAGCCCCGCCCATGGCCCCGCCCACAGCCACCGCCCACCTACAGCCCGGCTCTGCCTAGTTGCCCCGCCCATGGCCCCGCCCACATCCACCGCCCACCTGCAGCCCTGCTCTGCCTAGTTGCCCCGCCGTGGCCTGGCCAGCCCACCTTGCCATGGCAGATGCTGAACACTTTGCTTTTGAGGATGCTGCACTGCTTCTCGGCCCAGGAGCGGCGGTGCGGGTTCAGGCTGCAGGGCTCAGGGTTGGTGCTCACGTCCGGGCAGGTGGGGGCCTCCTTCCAGCTGTTGCCGAAGTCCAGCCCGCTGCTCACCACCATGTGGTCCCGTCTGGTGAAGTCGTTGTTGGAGTGGTCATCAAAGTTCCCGCACAGGCCACACACGGTGCCCTGCAAGAGACAAGCACCCCGGGGGCTCCGAAAAGGGGCTGGAGGGAGGGCAGGGGCTTGTCCCGCAAACACCAGGGCAGGGGGTGGGGGGCTGGCCAGGAGAGGACAGGAGAGGGCAGGGCAGGCAGGGAGGTAGCCCACCTTGTAGGAGGGAGCCAGCTTGATGAACACGGTGGTCCTCTTGTCCCAGATGACGATGATGCCCGTGCTGGACTCCACCACCAGGTACTGGCCCACCTCCCGCGTGGTGTAGGTCACATGGTGACCCTCGTCGCGCTGAATCACCACATGGTGCTTTTCTTCCAACTTCAGCTCCGTGCTCTGCCCGGAGGAGAGGCCCAGTCACCGGCTGGTCTGAGGGTCCCGCAGGGCTCACACATTCCCGGGGCCAGCAGCACTCACCCCAGTGAAGATCTTGATGGCCTTGGAGCAGGTGACACCCGTCGTGCCACAGGGGACGTTCTCGGTGATGATGCTGAATGAGCCCAGTGAGGAGTTCTGGCCGCAGTAGTCCTGGGGGCCAGGAGGGCAAGGTCAGCCAGGACAGCTGGGCCCCAGGTGTCCCAGGGCACACCCACCCCAGTTGGCGGGGCCACAGCCACTGAGCAGACAAACCAGGCCCTGGCCCTGCCCATCCGAGGACCTGACCCAGCTGCAGGCCCGTGTCCCTGGGGATCACAGTGCCTCAAAGGGCTATGGGATTTGGATCTGGAGAGCCTCGTGGGCAGCGGCCTAGCCCTGGCCCTTACTCAGCTCCCCATACAGGTGCCCTCAGTCCCCATGGCTGGGTGGTCAACCCCACCCGCCCTGTGCACCCAGAGGAGGACCCGGAGGAGGACCCACAGGAGGGAGGACCCAGAGGAGAACCACAGAACTGGGCAGTGCAGAGGGGTTTTACCACCCCCACCCAGCCCTGGCTAGAAGACCAAATCCTCCTGCGGGTGCGGGTATGGGTCTGGGACTGAGGAAAGGCCGGCCTTCCCAAGTCTCAGGGTTTCCCAGGGAGCTGAGCACTGGGCTCGGGGCAGGCAGAGGGTCCCTGACCACAAGCAGCCCAGCCAGGCAGTGCCCGTGACCACACCTGAACAGCCACATAGGAGCAGTGTCCGTCAAAGTCGTAGTACTTCCCGTCAAAGGTGATGTAGTGGCCGCTCCCATAAATGGAGCAGGTGCCATGGCACAAAGCCTGGGTGCATACCCAGCGTCCTCTCTGGCAGGTGCTGAGGAGGACAGGAGAGGAGCCTGAAGGGACCCAGGACCCGCTCATGGGTGCCTGGAGGAGACCCTGGACACTGTGCAGACGGCTCCCTGTGTCTCCCACACAGAACACCTGCAGGCCCCAAAAGTGGCTCCGAATGTCCCTTCTCCCATGGCTTCAAGACCAGCGGCTGACATGAGAGACCACCCTGCCCGTGGGACAGGGGCTGCCACAGGATCTCGCAAGACCCAGGCGGACCCCCCCAGGAGAGGCACCTGCCCCTTGGCCCGCTCTCCAGTGGCCACCCCTGCAGAGCACGTGGGGCCTGGAAGGCAGCCAGGACAGGCCAGGCCAGCTTACCAGGTATTGCAGTCCACCTTGATCTTGGCCCCGGGGGAATATAGGTCCTTGTTATGGATGCAAGGGCATTCCTTCTCCACCACACAGCCGCCCCGGCCGTCGTCCATCAGCCCATCGGGGCACACACAGCCGCTGACACACTCTGTGTGGTACTGGAGACAGCCAGAGAGTGGGGTTCGGGGTAGACAGGTGAGGCTGCAGCCCTCCCTGAGCTGCCCTCCCTGCAGCCCACCTGCAGCCCATCAGGATTGGATACGCAGCCAGGAAAGGCCTGACCATGCAGTCTCTGTCACATCCCAGACCTCCCACCACTCCCCCTAGCCTGGGCTCAGGCCTCCCTCCCCTCAGGCCCGCCACAGGGCAGGGAGACTGGTAAGGGCTGCTGGCTGAGGGCCCTACACTGGCCCCTGTACCCCAGTGGTTCACAGGCTGCCACTTTCCTCCCAGGGACAGGGACAGCATCGACAGGTCCTGCGTCCTCAGGACTCAGCACCCAGACCCTGGCTGGGGGCACAGTACAGGAGCCGGGCTCAGTCAGCCAGGAATCCCTGCCCGCCCACAGCAGCACCCCCAGCACGCACATAGCCGGCGGCCAGCGTCTGGCAGCTGAGGGCTCGGGGCTTCGAGATGGCCAGTGCGGTCAGGTTGCTGCAGTCCACATGGATCTTTGGGGCCGTGCAGCCTGTGGGACGGAGGGGCCGCAGCTCCAGCTGAAACTGGGGGTCTCAGGCAGGCTGGGGAGGGCTGGTCAGGGAGGGTGGCCAGGGCAGGAGGGGAGGGGTGGCCAGGGAGAGGTGGCCGGGGAGAGGTGGCTGGGGCAGGCGGGGAGGGATGGCTGGGGAGAGGTGGCCGGGGTAGGCAGGGAGGGGTGACTGGGGAGAGTGGCCAGGGCAGGCGGGGAGAGGTGGCCAGGGAGAGTGGCCGGGGTAGGCGGGGAGGGATGGCCGGGGAGAGTGGCCAGGGCAGGCGGGGAGGGGTGGCCAGGGAGAGGTGGCCGGGGAGAGGTGGCTGGGGCAGGCGGGGAGAGGTGCCTGGGGTAGGCAGGGAGGGGTGGCCAGGGACAGTGGCCAGGGCAGGCGGGGAGAGGTGGCCGGGGACAGTGGCCAGGGCAGGCGGGGAGGGGTGGCCGGGGCAGTGCCACTTACTCTGGCCAATCAGATGGATCTGCCTACAGTGCAGCCTCCCGTCCCGGCACACACTGTGGAAAAGGCCGGGGATGAGTGGGGCCCACGCAAGACGGCCACAGACAGCCCGCAGCTTCCCCGAGACAGATGTGAGCCTGGTGACTGTCAGCGCCCCCCACCCCAGGCACCCCTCAGTCTTGGGTGTCTCAGCTTCCCCAGGTAGAGTCTCCCAGGTCTCCGCTTGGGGCAGGTTCAGAAGGAGCTCCCCCACCCCCACGCCACACCTGACACCCGAGCAGGTACCCACCATCGTTCTTCCTGCCTGACGACCACATCCCCTGCCTCCAGGTAGAGGCCGCGGTAGTAGCAAGAGCACTTGGCCAGGGGCACGCAGCGGCCCTTCTCGTCCAGGAAGGTGTGGTCAGGGCAGCCGCAGCCGTCCACAGGCGCAAAGCCCTCAAGACAGTGGCTGTTGGCCTCAGAGAGGGAGCGGCAGGTCTGCTGGCAGGTGGTCAGGTTGTACAGGAAGACCTGCGAGTTGGGGCAGGAGCCCACATCCTTGTCTGCAGAGGACCATGGGGTGGCGTGAGGGGCGGGAGGAGCCAGACGCCCAGCTCCCATCCCCAGGGCGGCCAGGGGACCAGGGAGTGCACACTCTGGGACCCACTTCCACACTCGGCCGCCACAGCTCCAGGCCGGCCCCAGGTTCCACCCCTGCTATGTGACCGCCCCTTGCTGTAGGAGGAGCTGGTTTCCCGCTACCACTGGCTGATGAAGCTGGAGCCTGGTCCGTGGCTGCAGGGGCCAACTCCTCTCCCTGGACCACCCATGCTCAGGGCCCCCAGCACCGTCCCAGGAGCTCAAAGCCTGGACCCCATCCCCAGGAGGCAGCCCACAGGGACGGCACTCACTGCAGACACGGTCCCGCCAGCCCCACAGCATGACCCCCTTGGCAGCACAGGCGCGCGCGTAGGAGGACAGGGCGGCGCACAGGCAGTCCTCGTTGTTCTGGCAGTTGCACGTGTCATATTTGCACCTCTGGGCGACAGAACATGGTGGGCGGGCAGTGAGGCAGTGAGGCAGAGCGTGGCCCGGCGCTCACAGATGCAAGCTCACACACACACACAGCAACCAGTGGGCCCGGCCGGGTGCCCTGAGTCCACCTCACAGGTGGCATGGAGGCCTGGGAGTGCCCTGAGTCCACCTCGATGGCATGGGGGCCTGGGGGTGTGGGTCCCACCCACCTTGTAATACTCAGCGGGGTCCACGACCGAGTGGCACCTGCCAAAGGGGGTCTCTGTCTTCTTCAGGAGGGAGCACCAGTGCTCGGCGTAGTTGGCTGGGGAGTGGGGGATCAGAACTTCAGCGGGGCCTGGGACCCCCATGAGATCCCCTGGGCCCTGCTGCCCGGCTGCCTTGGCCCCAGATATGGTTCCTTCTGTGCACCCATGCCCAGGCCCCTTCCTCCCCCTGAGTCAAATTTCCAGGCAGCTCCAGGCTGGATAGAGACCCAGGCAGGGCACCCACCACCTCCCGTCTCTCACCCCCAAGGGCCCAGCATCCCGGATGTGATGGGGCAGGTAGGGACCAGCCCAGGCCCTCTTCCGGGTCACCTGGCAGGCTGCCACCATGGCCGCCATAAACTAGCCACAGCAGGAAGCAGCTGGTGCTGGGCTGCCCCTGGCGGAGAGCCACCTGACTTCTGCCCCTCACCACCCACGTGTCCTGCTGGGAGCCCCATCTGCCCTTCCAGGCCATGGGCCGGGTCCCCCAGGCAGGCTGGGTGGGGGCGCCCGTGTTGCCGAGCCTCACCACTCTCGATGTTCAGGGAGCAGGGATCATCCAGCCAGTCCAGCTTGTCATGGCAGCTTGACTGCGCCTTCCAGGTGTTGGCAAAGCCGGCCCCCGTGGCCTCCACCAGCCCACTGGCCGTCTTGAAGTCATCACCTTCCAGGCCGTTGAAGTTCCCACAGAGGCCTGAGGGGCCAGGACAGGGTTGGGAAGGGTCTGGGGCTAGCAGGCCCCCCTGTGGGCCTTTGTTGGGGCAATCCCGGTGGGGCCACTTACCCTGCACCTGCCCCTGGGAGGCCTGGTCCAGCGTCAGGAAGAGTTGCATGACTGGGGCCAGCTGCACCTGCAGCCGGAGGCCGCTGGCCATGCTCACGATGATGTGGTAGGAAGACGGGCGGAAGACGGAGAAGCTCGCTGCAGGCAGGGGCACGGTGAGGGACACGGTAAGGGGCACAGCGAGGGGCGGGGCTCCCAGGGCCTGCCTGGCCCAGGTGAGCAGCAGGAGGATGTCACCCTCCCACCGCCCCCTCCAGCAGAGGGCCCAGGAGAGAGCCTGCCGGGTACTGCAGAGACCCTCCTCCCATGGAACCTTTCCACCCAGCCTCCTGGGTCTGAGACGGCTGGACTGTCCGAATCACTGCAGGCCCAGCGGAGCTTGAAGGGCCTGGGCCCCTCCCTGGGGCACAACTCACCGGTCACGTGGGGCAGGTTCACCTGCAGCTCGTTGAGCAGCACGCTGCCATCAGACTTGAAGACGACCACCTGCGGGAAAGGCCGAGGTTGCTCAGGGCTGAGAAGGGCCCCCGTTGGGGGACTTGGGGCTCCAGAAGGAGGGGGCAGCACCACTCACATTCTTCTTCTTGTCGGCCAGCAGCACCACCGTCTTCAGGCAGGTCTGCTTGTCCGTGGAGCCACAGGGGGCCAGCTCGCCCAGGAGAGCGTAGGAATCGTTGTGGTCACCCTGTGATGGGGCAAGAGGCAGAGCAGCAGCTGAGGGCTGGGATGGGCAGCACCCTGCACCCTAGGACCCGGCAGTGGCTTAGAAAGGAAGGCCCGCTTCTTATCCTCCAGCCAGAGAGCAGCACAGTCACCTACCCCAGGACAGCCCACAGGCACCCTCTGCTTCAGGGACAGCCAGTCCACCCACCCCTGGACGGCCAAGGGCCTGAATGCCAGCCCCAGCTCTGCCCCATACCCCTGACCCTGGGCAGCCTACCTTGGCCAGGACGTAGTAGCAGTCCCCATGGAAGGTGTACGTCTTCCCATCGAAGGTGGTGATGTGGGAGCCGCCTTCCAGGGCGCAGGTGCCAGGGCAGGGCAGGTCTTTGCACACCCAGCGGCCAGCGTTACAGACACTGTTGGGCAGCGGGGCACAGGGTCAGGGCTCAGCTGCCCCAGCCTCTGCTGCACTTAGCCCTGGCCCCAGGACTCACCACTGCTCGCAGCCATTGGTGATCTCCTGGCCCGGTGTGTACAGGTGTCCGTGCAGCCTGCAGTGGCACTGGCTCACGGGAATGCAGCCGCTGCCCCCGATGTCGTCATACACGGTGCCTGGGACAACCAGGGAGGCGACGTCACCCTGCCAGCCAGGCCTCCCACCCACAGCCACCACTGGTCCCCTGCGCCGACGCCTGTGGTCCCCACCTGGTCCTTGGGTTGGGGTCTGGCCATGGGGGCCCAGCCTCCAGGCCACCTTCCTGCCCCTGACAATCGAGCTCCTCCCGAAGGCCTCCAGGCTCCGGGTCAGGGCCAGGCAGGGGGAAGTCTATCCCCAGGGTGATGACCAGGAAGGTAGCCCCCTTCTCAGCCTCCCTGAAGCCACCCTTTGGGAAGGGCCTCACACCAAGGCCCCTTCTCCCTGGACCTGCCCCGGTATCGGGTGGAGGGAGAAGCACTTCTGTGCTGCCACTGCCCCCACCACCTAGCGGAGCCGTCCCCTCGGCGCAGGCGAGAACCCGAGGCCAGAGCTGCAGGCCTCTCGTCCAGCGGGCAGTGCCAGGGCAGGGCCCTCCTCCACACGTACCTTCCGGGCAGAAACAGCCGTCCATCCGGTGCTCCTCGCACAGGCTGCTCACCTCCAGGTGTGAGCAGGTGTCCATGCAGGGCGAGCCACTCTCCAGGTACACCAGGTTCCCAGGGCAGGTCTTGGCTGGAACCACAGAGGCCACACGGTGAGGGTGAGGCTGGGGCACAGCAGCCGCTCCACACCGAAGTGCACCGAGAAGGGCTCTCAGCCCGCAGTGAGCGCCCCCCTGGCTCCCGGTGCCCGGCGCGGACACAACTCCCAACCGGGCTTGGGGAAAGCACCAGCGTGGGGTCCCCTGCCTGCAGGGTGCTGGGGCTTACGGCAGAACGTGGCAGTCCTCCAGTTCCCCGGCCGGCCGCCAGCGTGGGAGCACTGGCGGGAGAACTCGGCTACAGTGCTGCAGATGCAGGTGTCACCGCCCAGGCACCGGCAGCGGTCCTGCTGGCAGGCGCGCAGATACGGCTCCAGCGGCACCAGGTCCTGGCAGTCCGCGAAGGCCTCAGCGGACAGTAGCCTCTCACACTCGGCGCGCTGGGGACAGACGCAGGGTGGGCATGCTGCTCAGAGGCCAGCTCCGCCAGGACCAACACCCCAGAATGAGGGGACTCACGTGCTCGGAGCAGGATGCGAGGGCCACCGTCTCCTCGGGGTCCTCACACACCACATCGGGCTCATTGATCTTCTGCATGTTCCCGAACTCCAGGGGACTGAAGAACACACCTGGGGACGCACCGTCCTTCAGCTGGGGCACCTGGGGGCCCGTAGCCCACCCTGTCCCCACCAAGCCCTCCGGGCCTCACCGTCAGAGAGGAATTCTGAATAGCTCTGTAGGCCGTTGTAGTCCCCGCAAAGGCCACAGGTGTGGTTCCGGAACTTACTGTCCAGCTCCAGCTGTTGGGGGAGGGAGTAGGTGAGCTGACCTCTCGCCCCGCCCACAGCCTCCAGGGCAGCCGCCAGGAACCCCAAGACTCGAGGCTTGTTTGAGCCATAGAAAGGTGGGGCAGGAAGGCTGGGGTCAGCAGCCAGGGAGCGGCCTGGCAGGGCAGGTCCCTGAGAAGCTGGGTGTGTTTGGGGGGAGGGTGAGGCCTGGGGGGTCAGGGCCAGGCCGGCTTCTGCTGCTGCCCCCCAAGTCCAGCACCGATGCCCCGCGCTGCCAAGGCCCTGCCCCACCCCTGCCCTCTCGGTGAGGGGTCCGAGCACTGCCCTCCCTGCCCTCCCTTGGGGTCCACCCAGAGGCCTGACCAGCCCCAGGAGCCCGGGAACCCTGAGCACCATGAGGGCGTCCTCCCGGTTCCACAGGAGGGTGAGGCCGGCGCGGGAGTAGACTTTGGTGTAGGCGTCGCTCTTCTCGATGAGCAGCCCGGGGCTGTAGTGTGGGGTGCTGACCCTGGCGGGGGCACGTCGGGGTCACTCTTGGGTCCACCACCCAGGCACCCGCGCCCCAGCTTGTCCTCCCGGGACCCCGCCACCCAAAGGGCACCTGGGGTGGTGGAGATGGCTCTGCCAGGCCCAGCTCCTGCCCTGGGGCCACCAACTTGGCCAGCCTCTGGGGTGGAGGGACGTGGGCGGTGGCCAAAAAGCACCTGTCCGTCTCCGCTGGCCAGGCTTCCCCAGCAGAGCCACCTCCTGCCTGCACGCCCTCCTCTCCATTCCCTCCTCGGGGCACGGTCCTGGGCAGGGTCCCCTCTCAGAGGCCCTGAGGGCACCAGGTTGGGAGAATAGGGAGGGCCAGGCTGCCCAGCCTCCTTCCAGGCCCCCTGCTTGGTGGGACATCACCCCATGGGGCCCCAAACCCCCACCAGACTGCCCCTGAGGCTATCAGGGGCCCTACACCACCTCCTGCCAATGCCCCTTTCTGGGCCAGGTAGAGGCACTCACCCCAGCCTCTGTGCCTCAGTCCCCAAGGGCCTCTACCCACCCACCCGTGCCCACCCCTGAGGGCCTCTACCCACCTGCCCACCCACACCTGAGGGCCTCTATCCATCCACCCGTGCCCAACCCTGAGGGCCTCTACCCACCCGCCTGCCCGTGCCTGTGCTGGAGCCCCTTGCAGGAAACGGAATGCCCAGGCAAAAGAGGGGCAGGTCCTGCAGGTGGGGAACCCGCTAGACAGGAATGCACTTGCAGGGCCTCATTGTTCTGGAGACAATAGGGGAATAATAGCTGGGAGTGGAGAAGGGGCTCCCACAGCCCCCCTGCACCAACTTCTGTAACTCTAGCCTGGGGTGGACGCACACGGCCACTCCATGCACAGGACCAGAAACAGGCAGCCTCCAGGGGTGCCAAGGCTGTCCCGAGCCTGGTGGGCTCCAAGGGGAGGGGCCATCAGGGACACAGGCAAAGGGGTAACTGAAACCCCTTGGCTATGGGGGGAATGGTGGGGGCTCATCAGTGTTTGTTGAATGAATTAGTGACCTGAACCCAAACCTCAAGGCTGTTCTCCTGAGCTGTGTGCCAGGGCAGGAGGGGTCTCCTAGGGCTACAGGGAAGACCCCTTTGGGAACCGTCAGCCCCCTTTGCTAGGATGTGGAAGGGGTGCCACCGACCACACTCACATGGCCCCGTTCAGCACAGCCAGGTGGCGGGTGAGGTAGATGGTGTCATCCTTGATGGTCAACAGGACGGACTCGACCCCGGCGGGGGCCTCAGCCTGGCCCGGGCCCCGCTTTAGGTGCACGGCAAATTCCTTGTAGGAGCCTCGGCAATCGGAGGCGAAGTTGTAGTCGCAGAGGCCGGGGAAGCGGAAGATGTCCCCGTCGAAGGTCTTGTAGTGGAAGTCGCCCCAGGTGCTGCAGACGTTGTGGCCATGGTTTCGGGTTCTGCCCTCTGAGGGAACAGCAGTGAATGAGGGGTGAGTGGCCCCGGTGGGGGAAGGCTGCCCAGGCTACCCTCAAGAGGAGGGCCCTGCGGAAGCACCTGGAAGCAGCTTCCAGCCCAGCGCAGGACCCCTGGCCGGGAAAGCTTCCTTCCTATCCGCGGGTCCTCTGCTGGTCTTTGGTCACCCCACAACAGCGGTCTCAGGGCTTCTACTCCTGGCCTGGTGAGGAGTGTGGCCGGGTGCCCAGCGGGGTGTAGGAGAGGAGGTTCTGGGCAACCCGCTCCCCAGCAAGGGCTGTGCTGCCCCAACTCTTCAATGGTCTCTGCCACCTGAGAATGGGGCTTTCTGGTGGGGTCCTGGCCGCCCCTTCCTCCCCTATGGACAGTGACGCAGTTCAGTGGGGCCTGGGCTGCTGTTTCCACCTGGTGCTGGCCCCAAGACCCACACTGTCATCAGGCAGTCAACCCCAGAGGAATGGCAGGGGAACCCCATCCTGCCAGCCCCTTGAAAGTCAGCAGGGCCGGGGACTGCAGGGGACCAACCCAGGCCAGGAGCCTCAGCGGAGCCACCCATGCTGCTAGGATGCACACGGGGACCACCTTCTCCTCCCAGATGCCACTCGCCTGCCCGCCTGGCCCTGCCCCCAGGACACTCTGCCAGGCCCCAGACCCCTGTGTCTGCTCTCTCACCTGTCTGGAGCTCCAAGCCCCCTGCCACAGACAGGGCCAGGCAGACAGCCGCCAGAGGGGCTAGCGGCAGCCCCATGGTGGCTGGCAGGGCAGTGTGGGTTGCGCCCGGGGGCAGGGGTCTGGTCCTTATATGTCCTGGCACAGGGGCAGGAAGGCAGGGGAGGGTCAAGGAGTGGGTGTGGCATTTGCTAGATGATCAAGAAGACAGCTGCAGGGGCCCGAGCCCCAGTGGGGAAATATTGATTCAGGTTATCAGAGGTCATCTCTTTATGGCTCCCTGGGTAAACACAGCCTTCTTCAGGATGAGGCAGCCCTGTGGCCTGAGTGCCAGCACACACCCAGGGAACACGTCCAGCTACTAGCGGGACAGGGTGGCCGAGGGAGGGGCGTCCTGGCAGAAGCATGTCCAGTCAGGCTCCGTAGCCCCCCACGGGCCCCCAGGTCCCCGCTGAGCAGGTCCCCAGGCCTGATCAGGCTCATGTTACCCTGGGAGGACCAACCCGTTTCCGGGGCCCAAGCTCTGGGGCAGTTTCCAGGCCTGACTCCAGAAAGGGGCCTCCCCGAAGGCAGGGAGGATGTGGGATCCTTCGGGCTGCAGGGAGGCCACTGACTTGCATGGGACTCTTGGCCAGGCTCACGGAGCAGTGTCAGAGGCCCCAGCCCCCAACCACCCTCTAAGCCCATCCTTTTCTCAGGCTGGGAAATTCCTTCTCTGGAATTACATATGATTAGAACTCGGGGAGCACCTGCCCAGCCAGGGGACGTGTTACAGAATGAGGCACACCGGGAGCTGGCTGGTGGCCGAAAGTGGCCGTCTGCCCCTTCTCCCGGAGACCACATGAGGACCTCGGGCCTGAGAGCTGAGGAGGTGATAGCCTGCCCAGGCTCCCCCGAGCCACCTCTCACTCAGGGTGAGGGTCCTGCCCCTGAGGCTGGGCCTCTGATGAGCCTCAGTCTCGCCCACCAAGCCCAGCAGTTGTCTGGAAAAGCCTGGAGAACCAGAACTCATACCGACCCCAAGCCACAAGACCACTGGGCCCACCACTGCTTGCCCCAGCCCGGGAGGGCACAGGCAGGCTCCCTTGTGTCGCCAGTGGGTAAACTGAGGTCTGGGGGCCCTCCCCTCTCTCTACAATTTTCTCCTTCTGAAAATAGAGATGGGCCCTGAGTTGAGTTCCCAGCTTTGGCCCAAGGGGATGGGGACATGCCAGCAGCATGATGGCAGTGGGGAGGGGACTCACCCTGACAGTTTGGAGACTCGGGGCCCAAGGCACCAAGCCTCTTTCCCTGGTTGACCTGTTGCCTGGACCTGGAGCCTGGGATGAAACCCCTCCTGCCCTCCTGTGGTGCCTGCCAGCACCAGGTCCCAGGGTCTGCACTCCCTGCTAGGACCTGGGCACGTGGAGGAAGCTGAGTGTGTGGCCCGGGCCAGGAGGACCAGGGATTAGGAAACCGGACCCAGCTGGGCCAGGCCAGAGGGGACCATTGTTCACTTCCCGGTGTAGGCCTCCACCCACTGGCACGGAGCCCTGGGGAAACCCAAGGACAGCCCCAACTGCAGACCCCCGACCCTGACATGCTCCAGGGAGGCTTCGGGGCAGAGATTTTCCAGGCCAGGCTCCCCTTGCCCTGGGGGGATTGCAGGAATCCTAGCCGAGCACAAGCTGCCCAGCACAGCCCCTCCGGCCCTGAAGCCTGAGGTGGGTCCCCTCTGGGCAGGCAGTGGTGGTGCCTGATCTGACCCTGTGTCCCCTCTGGGCAGGCAGTGGTGGTGCCTGATCTGACCCTGTGTCCCCTCTGGGCATGGCAGTGGTGGTGCCCAGGCTCGGGGGTCTGACCCTAACACCCATCTTGGCCCGTGACAAGGTCCCAGGGAGGAGCCCTGTCTGAGCTCACAGGCAGCCCTGCAAGGGGCAGGGTGCAGAGAGCTGAACCCCATTCCTAATGGTGAGAGGGAGCTGTTCTGGGGAAGACGGTGAGGGCTCCATCAGGCTGGGGTGACTGTGGAGTCACTGGCACCCCCAAAGCGAGAGTGTCCCCGACCTCTTTGCCTCCAAGCCTCAGCCGGTCCCCACTGCCAGATTCGCAGCATCTACTGGGGTTGTGGAGGTGATGGGGACGGGGCAGGTCAGCAGCTCTGCAGTCACTCTCTTCCCATGTCCTGTATGGGTCCAAATGTGGCCCCCGTTGCTGGTTACTGAAATGTCGGCCTCCAGCAAGTGCAGAGTGGGAGAATGGGCAGCCGTACTGCCCTGGGACCCCATCGCCACCCTGTGGCTTTCCCATGGGGTTCGAGGGGCCCCAGTGGAGGGAGAGAGTAGGGGCTTTGACCACTCCAAGGAAAATGCTTGTCGATTCTGCTTTCTGTGACAAGGACGTGAGCAGTGGTGGGAATGACCACCCACCAAACGGAGGGCCAGACACGGTCCAGCCAGGAGCCGACAGCCCCAGCCCCGTGTCAGCTCCCAGCCTCAGGCCCCGGCTGGGACTCAGAGCCAGAGGCCGCATGGAGTACAGCCTCCCACACAGACAGCATCCTGGTCCCCAAAGCCTCTCCCCAGTCTGCCCACGCCCGCTGTGTTTACCCTGACAAGACACTGTTGCCAAGGGCTGCACGGAATTTGCAGTAGTGACTGTAGGGAGGAGGCAGCACAGACGTCACACGGCACCTGAAGTGACAGCCCTCCTGCTATGTATCCACAAACCTGAGTCACCAGGAAGCCCAGTGAGGGGTAGCCATGCAGGGGTCAGAGCCACTGGAGGAAGAGGGAGAAGGGGCCACCGGAGGAAGAGGGAGAAGGGAAAGGAGGAGGAGGAAGGGGAAGAGGAAGAGGAGGCTGGGGAGGGAGGCGAGAAGAGAGAACCCTATGCTGCTGGGGGAGCCGAAGACAGCAGGTGCGTCCCCTGCCCCTGTCCCGGTCGCTCAAACGGTGGCTGTGTGAGTCGGCCTGTCTGGTCGTGGCTCCAGTCTTTGGCATGGCACTGGGCTGGATGCTGCTGTGAAGGGATATCTCAAATGTGACCCTGGCCAGGGAGGGGGACCTGACACAATCAGTGCAGGGCCTTGAAAGACAGGGCAGACTCAGACCCCCAAGCACGGCCACTTTCTGGGCCTCCAAAGGTTCTGAGACACCTGGAGGTGTGCACGTCACCTCCCAAGGACTGCAGGGGTGAAAGGCGGGATATAGGTGCCACTTCTGTGTGAGGGGTGGAGGGTGAGCAAGTGAGCATACAGAGGCGTTTGTTCTCAGGTGAGGGATCGAGAGAGGCCTCAACCAGGCCAGGCCTCCGATGGGCAGGCAGGCACTGGGCAGGCTCCATTGAGGAAAGGGCAGCCCAGGGCCAGGGCAATCAGGTGGATAGCTGTGCTTCAGGAGTTCAGACACCTTGGGGCACTTGCCCCTCAAGACTTGGTCCAGGTGTCACATCCTCATACTGAACACTGTCCTCACCACCCTGGCCACACTGTGTGACCCTTTCTGGCTGTCCTCCTCCGATTGCCTTAAGGGCAGCAGCCCATGTGGGTTCCCCATGGTCACCCTCACAGCAGATGTACTCAATAACTTTTTGGGCAGGTGGGTGGGTGGGTGGATGGATGGATGGGTGGATGGTTGGGAGGCAGGAAGGGGGAATGAATGGGTCAGTAGGTAGATGGATGGGATGGATGGATGGATCAATAAATGAGTGGGTAAATGAGTGGATGGATGGATGAATGGGTGGTTGGCTGGGTGAATGAGTGGATGAATGGAGAGGGGAGAGAGGGAGAGAAGGAGAGATGGTTAGATGGATAGATGAATGGGTGGGTGGGTGGATGAATGGATGAATGGGTCAGTGGGTGAGTGGGTGGATGGATGGATGGATGGGTGAATGGGTGGGTGGGTGGATGGATGGATGGATGGATGGATGGATGGATGGATGGATAGATGAATGGATGGATGGGTGAATGGAGGGGTGGATGGATGGGAGGGAGGGAGGGATGAATGGGTAAGGGTGGGATGGATGGATGGATGAATGGGTGAATGGAAGGATGGATGGATGGGAAGGAGGGAGGGATGGATGAATGGGTCAGTGGGTAGGTGGATGGTAGGTGGATGGATGAGATGGATGGATGGATGGATGGATGGATAAATGAGTGAGTAAATGAGTGGATGGATGGATGAATGGGTGGTTGGCTGGGTGAATGAGTGGATGAATGGAGGGGGGGAGAGGGAGGGAGGGAGAGAGATAGATGGATAGATGAATGGGTAGGTGAGTGGATGGATGGATGAATGGGTGAATGAAAGGATGGATGGATAGGAGGGAGGGAGGGAAGGATGGATAAATGGGTCAGTGGATGGGTGGATGGATGAATGGATGGATGGATAGATGGATGAATGGGTGGGTGGATGGATGGATGGATGGATAAATGAGTGGATGGATGGATAAATGAGTGGATGGATGGATGGGTGAATGGAGGGATGGATGGAAGGGAGGGATGGACGAATGGGTCAGGGAGGGATGGATGAATGGGTGAATGGGAAGATGGATGGATGGATGGATGGGTGGATGGATGGATGAATGGGTGAATGGAGAGATGGATGGATGGATGGATGGATGGATGGATGGATGGATGGGAGGGAGGGATGGATGAATGGGTCAGTGGGTAGGTGGATGGATGGGATGAGATGGATGGATGGATGGATGGATGAGTGAATGGATAGGTGGATGGATGGAGGCATGGATGGGAGGGAGGGAGGGATGAATGGGTCGGTGGGTGGGTGGATGGATGAGATGGATAGATGGATGGATGGATGGATGGATGGATGGATGGATGGATGGATGGGTTAGTGAATAGATAGGTGGATGGATGGAGGCATGGATGAATGGAGGGATGGATGTGTGGATGGGTCGATGAATGGATGGATGAAAGGATGGATGGACAGATGGATAGGTGAGTGAGTGAATGGATAGGTGGGTGGATGAATGGAGGAATGGATAAGTGGATGGGTAGTTGGGTGGGTGGATGGATGGATGAATGGATGAAGGGATGGCTGGATGAATGGACAGAGGGAGGGAAGGATGAGTGAGTGGATGGGTAGCTGGGTGGGTGAATG